TTTTTTTTTTTTTTTTTAATGTACTGGATATTAAACCCAGGGCCTTGGTGCTGAGCTACATCTCCAGGATATTTTTATTTTTAAGACAGGGTCTCACTAAGTCCCTATAAATTGTCTAGGCCCTTGCTATTCTTCTGCCTCAGCCTCCCAAGGTGCAGGATTACAGAGGATTACACTGCAACTGGCTTCCAGCTCTTTTAAAATTGTATTTTGAGCCGATCTCGCTAAATTGACTAGATAGTCCGGTTTTATTTTTGCTCCCATGCCACCACAACTGACATTTTATATAATTTACAAATTGATCAGACCTATAGTTTAGCCTGTTCCCCCACAGAAATCTATCCCAAATGGTGGAGAATCTGATTGTATCCCCAATCCTCGAAATAGTATCCTGCACATAGGAGGTGCTCAATAAATATTTTAGTCAAAAGACAATACTCGTATTTGCTCCTCCAACCCAGACTGAATCTAACCCAGCGGAAACGTAATCTGGTTCAGGTCTGGTGCCCCTCCCCTGCCCCAGACTCCCGCTTCTGCCCGTGGACCCCGCGCCTCACTCACGCCCAGCCCTGGCCCAAGCCGCGGCTGGCCAGCATCACGCCCCGGATGCTGGGGTCCGAGCGCAGGAACAGGCCCACGTTGCCCAGCAGATTAAGCAGCTGGAAGGCGGCCAGCGCTAGCTGCAAGGCCCGGGCTAGGGGTTCCAGCGGGGGCAGCCCGGGACCCAGCACCAACACATAAGCCAGCTCTAGGACCACCGCGGCAGCCCACAGCGTCGTGAGCACCAGAGGGAGCCGCACAGGCGTCTCTGTGTTCCTAGAAGCCCACGGCTGCCCCATGGTCTGGACCCACCAGCTCTGGGAGCTTTAGGACCCCGCCGCTTCCGTATTGGGGCAGGGATAACGGCAGACGGACGTCTTCAGCGACCAATAGAGACCCCTAAGGGGTGCACGGAGCTCTAGACTCAAAGGGAGAGATCTTGGATGCCGAGAACTGATTGGTCAATTGAATGAGCCAGGCGGTACTCAAAATCCGATTGGCGCTAGAGGTCCAGGTGACCGAGCTAAATCTCGCCCCACCCATCGCCGGGCTCCGCCCCTCCAGCGGAAGCCCGGCTGGCTGGTGGAGCTGGCTGGCGCTTCGGCTGGGTTGGGTTCCAGCCTCTGTGGCGTCGGGGTTTCCCGGCTCAGCACATTCTCCCCCACCTCCCCGCAGTCTCCCGGATATTAATATCCCTGCCTAGAACCATCCAGCTGGCTCGGAGCCCCTCCCTGTGCTCAGGTGTCTCCCTTCATCCCCTCAGAAAACATTAAAACTCCGCACCTCTGTGTTTCTGACTGAAATTGGAATGGGGCTCCTTTTCCCATCCGCGAGATGCCAGAAGAGGCTCAGGAGAAGGCTCCTACGGCAGCCATTAGGATGGTCTGCAACCATTATCTGTGTCGTCATCCCGGTTTTACAGATGAGGAAACAGAGAGGGCCTGTGGCTTCCCTAAGGTCACACAGCGCCCAAGCCGCGGAGCTGGAACCCAATCTCGGATCTCTGGCACGAGATCCACCTCAGTATCCCCCAATTCTGCAACCCCTGGCTCCAATGCAATCTGTAGTCTAGTCCCGACCCGAAAACCCTAGCCCCTGTCCAGCCCCACCCTCCTCCCCCATATTTAGTGCGAACCCGATCCGGGTATGGGCCGGGCCCTATTTAACCGGGCTGGGGTGTCCCAGAACGCGCCGAGCGGAGCTGAGCCAGGAGCCTGAGCAAGATGATGATGGTTATGCAGCCAGAGGGTCTGGGGGCCGGGGAGGGGCCCTTCGCGGGCGGCGGGGGCGGCGAGTACATGGAACAGGAGGAGGATTGGGACCGCGACCTGCTGCTGGACCCGGCTTGGGAGAAACAGCAGCGGAAAGTGAGTGCTCGCCCATTTCCCTGTGGCAAAACTGAGGCCTGGGTCACCAGACCTTGTGTTCTGAGCATCTCAGCAGAGCAGGGGCACACCCGATTTTAACCCAGTCTGCCACTGCCCAGCCTACGCTCTACCCACCAGCCTGCTGCTGTCCCCTAGGACTGGAAAAGCTGGCTGGGAGTCTTCATAAGGGTCTAGAGTATCAAGAACTATTTTGGGGACCCCCCCACCCTAGGCTTATTCCACTGGGCCCACTTCTGTTAACAAAAACATACTGAGCAAAGCCCAGGAGATATAGACTGGGGAAGAGAGGTTTAGGGAGAACAATCTCTCTCCACGCCCACCCCACTGTCTCGTTAAATATTCTGAGAGCTCATCCTGAAGAGATACCCTGGACCCGGGAGACTTGTGAGTGTGGGGTAGGGAGATATCTCAAACCCCACTCCACCTTCTTTGTATTCTTTCCAGGGTGAGTCCATTCTTTGATTTGACAGTTGAGGTAACTGAAGCTCAGAAAGAGGCAGAGATCCTAAATCATATACTGTCAGAAAAACGGGAGCCTTCAATTTGGGTCCCTTGTCTCACCCCAACTCTTTCCCAAGATACTCCTCCTGCTTTAGAGACCCTGAGTCTGCTGAAAAGGCCACAGGGTCAGGGAGGTGGGGAGCCCTGGGTCCCCTTACGCGGTAACCTGATTCTCCAGCCTTATGGGCACTTTATGCTGAGACAGCGCCTTGGGGAAGCCTGAGAAGGGCCCGTGAGCAGCTGCTGCCCTGCCCAGCCTTGTAGGGCACTCGGGCTCTCCTTCCTCCCTGGACTATTTTCATTCCCAGACTTTCCCCAGTGGAGGGGGCGGGAGACCTAGGTTCCCTAAAGAGAAAATGATCCTAGCTTTAGTGAGAAAAAATTGAGGAGTGGCAGAGGAGGTCATCATTCAGATGCCACGAGGTCATCATTTATTGCTGAGTGTTTGGCAATGAAGCAGGGCTCCTGAAAAGGGCAGGGGACACGAGTGCTGGTGCAATCTGCAGGATCTGAGAATCCCAGATTCTAGAGCCAGAGCCCTTCCAATGGGTTAGTTGGCAGGAGTTGCTCGCAGGGGTTTGGGAGGCTGAGCTGACTCCTGGGGTGTCCTGGGTGATACACACTGCCCCCCACCCCCAGCCCTGTGCTCCTGCACCTGTCTCCTAGCATGGCTGTGGTCCCTGGATTTGGTAATCTCCAGTGATGTCATCCCTGCTCCTGGCTCCAGCTGTCACTTGCTTTGCAACAGCTCCCATCCCCACCCCCACCACTCAGGCTTCTCCCACGTGCAGGTCCACATGTGTCCCTCACGGGACACTTGCCAATCTATATCTTGCCTTTGTTATCTAAAATATCAGGAGCATCCAGTTATCCCAGTTTACAGCTACCCACTTCATCCATTCTTCCAATAGCTGCCCATAATAGATGTTCTCTCAGTCAGTTTGAATCCCCTGACGTTGAACATTTGGGTCATTTCCTTCACATCCAACGTTATTTATCACAGAGTTGTAATAATTATCTTTGTTTAGCTTTATCCCTTTAATCCTGCCCCATTCCTGCTCCTGTGTGCTCTTTCTTAGCAGTAATTCCTTCATCCAGTAATTTCTACGGATGCAGAGCATTCTCCCTTCCTCACATCTGATGCCTGTGTCCCTTTTTTAACAAAAACATTTGTGGGCCATGCGTGGTGCATAGGCATAATCTCGGCACCCAGGAAACTGAGGCAGGGGCATCACCATGAGGTCAGGGCCAGTCTGCGGCACTACATAGTAAGACTCTCTCTCTCTGTATTTTTTCTTTCTTAAAAGTTCCACTGCTGTTAGGTGCCAGGATTCAGCAAGAGACAAAATAAAAATAAAGCCCCTGCCTGCCTCTGATCTTGCCTCCTGACCCTGCCCCCTAACACCCACCCCTGCCTTTGCCCCTTTCTTTTTTGCCAAGCCTTTGTCTCCACTCCTGCAACCAGAAAGAGTTCTCTGGAGCACTGTTTGCTCACCTCCCTTCTGCCTGAAGCTTTGCTGACTCCCTGTGGCTCTGAGGATCAAGTTCAAGCTCCCCAGCTTAACATCCAAGATCGTGCATGACCTGGCCCCTGCTTCCCCTCCGGCCCGCCTGTCAGCACTGATACCCCGACACCCCCAGCTTCATTCCAGCAATGCCCAGAAATTTAAGTCCCGCAACAAAGAAACTTCTCAGTGAGTGGCTATGCCTGCCTGGAATGCCCTTGCCTGCCCTTCCCTGCCTGGATAGCTCCTGTTCTTCCTTTGCAACTGTAATCTAAAGTATGAGCCCCTCCCTGAGAAGCATCCTTCTCCCCTGACAATGTTTGAAAGATTCTTCCTCTTTTCTCTCTAGCACTTCTCAGACCAATATAGTTCTTTTTTTTTTTTTTTTTTGTAGAACCAGGATTGAACTCAGATCCTTGCGTTTGCCAGTCAAGCGCTTATCCTACTGAGCCATCTCCCTGGCCCCTAGCATAGTTTGACTGGCTATGTCAAAGAACTGAGTTCCTCTAGAGAAGGGAATACATCTCACACACTGTACTCAGACCTGCCTGTGCCCCTATCCTTGTCCTATTCCCTATTGAGACCCAGAGCATCCAGACCCAAGGGTTAGAAAGAATTTCAGAGACAAATGACCTCTCTGGTGCTTGGGTTCCCATTGAGTAGTACTCAGTATGCAGTTACACATGTCCAAAGACAGGAAGCTCACTCCAGAAGCCAGGTAAGGCTGGGCCTGAGTGCTTGGTGAACCATCCATAACCTGTATAGTCCTTGCATACTCAGGGTCTCCCTGGAAGCCAGCCCATAGCCCTCAAGGTGCATCTGACTCCATCTAGAATTTCTCAGAGTTTATATCCCTGCACCTTAGAGGATCCCATCCCCTGCACCTTAGAGGATCCCATGCTTTGGGATATGTTAAAATGTAGGAGTCCTCTTTCAGTCCTTAAGATCAGCCAAGTCAGGCATGGTGATGGTGGTGCATGCCTGTAATCTCAGCTTGGGAGGATTACTGTGAGTTCAAGGTCAGTCTGGAGTATATAGTGGGTTCAAGGCCAAAGCTAAAATACTGGCTCTAGAACTAGCATAAATGCAATTTTCTCTCTTTCACAACATTTAAAGCTCAGAATGAGAAAGAGAGGGGCCCAAGGTCCACAGCAAGTCAGCAACTGAGATGAGACATGCCTTCTGGGCCTCAGGCTCTGAGATGTACATTGCAGCCAGTCATAGGATCTCAGCGCTGTCCTCTGTCCCCAGACCTTCACTGCCTGGTGCAACTCGCATCTGCGTAAGGCAGGCACCCAGATTGAGAACATCGAGGAGGACTTCAGAAATGGCCTCAAGCTCATGCTGCTCCTGGAAGTCATTTCAGGTAAGGGTGTACATCCATACTTAGTGCCCTAGGAAGCAGGGGAATTAGGGAGCGGGGACAACAGTTGAAGGAACACTGGAGGAACTGGGCAGGCTATGTGTGTGTGGGTGCCTGGGGACAATCTTTTCAACTGCTTTTCATGATCTTTGAGCCTTGATTTTTCTTATCCTCAGGAGAGAGGCTGCCCAGGCCAGATAAAGGCAAGATGCGCTTCCACAAAATTGCCAATGTCAACAAGGCCCTGGACTTCATTGCCAGCAAGGGGGTGAAGCTGGTGTCCATTGGTGCTGAAGGTGAGGAGGGGCAGGGCAGGACCTGGAGGGAGCAGGGAACTCTCTGGTATCAATGAGTCACCTCTGTGAACCTCAGTTTGCTCATCTCAACAATGGGCATAATCATCCCCATCTCATGGGAAAGACCAGAAGGAATAAATGTACCCAAAGTGCGTGCTAGCATAGCACCTGACACCTGATAGGTGGTCAATAAATCATTTAAAAATAAAAGTAGAATTGGGCAAAGGAGCACATGCTTGTAATCCCAGCAGTTAGGAGGCTAGAGTTCAAATCCTGCCTTGACTATATGGTGA